GCTAAGAAACAGCTCTAATATTTTATTTCTAATTTTTTGCAATTTTCCTCTTCTTTTTTTTCTTTTTTTTCTCTAGGTAAATCAGTTGCCTTTCCCTTTTACCAACGCTCAGCAGTTTGAACGTAGCATTAGGCAACCAGTGGGTCAAACCTGGAACCCAGAGTCAACCTTCAAAAAACTCACAAAACCCAAAGTGAGCACCAAAATGGGATCAATCATCGCACCAATCACATCAGAGGAAGCATTCGAGGACAAATCTAAAACCAAAAAAGGACATCAGGAAATCACTGAGAGTGGCCAAATGAACTTTACCAAAAAACAGACAAAGAATCAACGGAAAAAATCTAAAGGTCGCCACCAGAATAAAAAGAATCATCAAGATGGAAATAAGTAACTTTTCTCAATGTATTTGGCAGATTATATATTAATTATAATAAATCTATAATAAAATTGATTTTGTGATTTATTTTTGTCAAAACTTGTCTGTCTGTCTGTCTGTCTGTCTGTCTGTCTGTACAGCTCAACTCCCAAGTAAAACATGTTCTGTCATTACTACCAGTATTTAAATTAGCAATGGTGGAGTATGCTGATTGGTCAAACTGCCAGCTCATGAAATACAGCAATGAAAGTATATTTTGTGATGGTTCATATTTACAAAGCATGTCTAATAAGTTCATAATGTATGATATTGAGCTATGAGCACTGATGTAGATTGGCAGTATGTACGTCTTCCATACTCTTTCATACGTCAAGCTGACTATGATGCATTTTTCATTCCATTCAGTTACAAGTAAAATCTCATAGAAAATGAGACAACCAAATAAAAGATTGCCCTCGGTGGTGACTCAATAAATTGTGTTTTATATGAAAACCAAATAAAAGAATGCCCTCTATGGCGACTCAATAAATAGTGTTTTATATGAAAATGAGACAACCAAATAAAAGAATGCATTCTATGGTGATTCAATAAATTGTGTTTTATATGAAAACGAAATAAAAGAATGCCCTCTATGGTGACTCAATAAATTGTGTTTTATATGAAAATGAGACAACCAAATAAAAGAATGCCCTCTATGGTGACTCAATAAATTGTGTTTTATATGAAAATGAGACAACCAAATAAAAGAATGCCCTCTATGGCGACTCAATAAATAGTGTTTTATATGAAAATGAGACAACCAAATAAAAGAATGCCCTCTATGGTGACTCAATAAATTGTGTTTTATATGAAAACCAAATAAAAGAATGCCCTCTATGGCGACTCAATAAATAGTGTTTTATATGAAAATGAGACAACCAAATAAAAGAATGCCCTCTATGGTGACTCAATAAATTGTGTTTTATATGAAAATGAGACAACCAAATAAAAGAATGCCCTCTATGGTGACTCAATAAATTGTGTTTTATATGAAAATGAGACAACCAAATAAAAGAATGCCCTCTATGGTGACTCAATAAATTGTGTTTAGTATGAAAACCAAATGAAAGAATGGCCTCTATGGTGACTCAATAAATTGTGTTTTATATGAAAATGGGACAAGCAAATAAAAGAATGCCCTCGATGGTGACTCAATAAATTGTGTTTTATATGAAAATGGGACAAGCAAATAAAAGAATGCCCTCTATGGTGACTCAATAAATTGTGTTTTATATGAAAACCAAATAAAAGAATGCCCTCTATGGTGACTCAATAAATTGTGTTTTATTTGAAAATGGGACAAGCAAATAAAAGAATGCCCTCTATGGTGACTCAATAAATAGTGTTTTATATGAAAATGGGACAAGCAAATAAAAGAATGCCCTCGATGGTGACTCAATAAATTGTGTTTTATATGAAAATGGGACAAGCAAATAAAAGAATGCCCTCTATGGTGACTCAATAAATTGTGTTTTATATGAAAACCAAATAAAAGAATGCCCTCTATGGTGACTCAATAAATTGTGTTTTATATGAAAACCAAATAAAAGAATGCCCTCTATGGCGACTCAATAAATAGTGTTTTATATGAAAATGAGACAACCAAATAAAAGAATGCCCTCTATGGTGACTCAATAAATTGTGTTTTATATGAAAACCAAATAAAAGAATGCCCTCTATGGCGACTCAATAAAAAATTAAAAAATGTCCTTGATGGCAGCAATGTGACAATGACAGGTATGTCTAAAAAGGTAAAATGTTGGTCAATTTCCTATTGAAATCAATACATTACACTGAGTTAGGTGGCTATGTTTATCTTTAAAGGCCAGTTACATTGTGGGTATATTTGTCTAAGGGATGTGAACCCCTAGTACTCTCTAAATGAAATGTCTATAAAGGTGAGCACAAGATATCTACGTTTAATATATTTTTGAGCAAAAACTGCATCATTTTTACACATTTTATATTTTAGCTTGTTCTGTTTTTGCTTCCACCAAACACACATCCTCGGACAGCAAGGGAATCGTATCTGACAATGTATAGCGTCCTCACATGACCGGTATAAAGACATGGGCAAGGATTTTTTTTATTCATATCACCGAGTGAAACAAACCAAAAATAAATATATTCACACAAAGAAACAAATAAATAAACAAACAAACAAACTAAGAAGAAGAGAAGCTTCACAGTAATGAGCAAGGACTTGTGTATCCTATATGTCATGCTCCAATTGCTCCAGTCACCCAGCAGCACCATCCAGGGTAGGAGTTCAATAAATTAAATGAATCATCTAGTATACATGTATGATACATCGGATTTTGACTGGTATTTATAAACAGAAAAATGTAACATTCACGTACTAACTGAAGAATGTGCATTATCAACGCACTTTTGACCGAAATTTGCTGAAATTGCTAAATTACAATTATTCATTCCAGTTCCCAACGACCGGCTATTTGATCGTCTGAAGAAAAAACTTACCCACTGGCAAACTAGTTCTTGATGACACGCTGTATTCGAATTACAAAATACCAGGCCTATATTTTAGCTTAGACCACTAATAGTCTGAGATTTTAGAAACCACGCTCGCATTTGGCAAAACCACGCCCAAATTATAACTGGGTGTCAATTAACAGTTAACCGAACTTTGAGTTATGAACTACTGAGCTACATTGATTGTTTTTTATGTTTAACGTCCACATTTACTGGGTAACTTAATCTTTAATTTACAGTTAACAGAGTTATGGGCAAACTACATTGTTGTTGTTTTTAAAACTTCACAAACGCGTCTAGCGAGAACCAAACGACCACTCGTTTACTCGTATCACACATCCGCTCATCAAACGCCCAATCGTTTCACTAGTAAACTTTTTTTAGTGGAGAGGAATTATTAAATTTATTATATTTTATACAATGTATTTTTCACTAATTGTTTTTTTTATTTTCTGGGTAACTAATAAATACAAATTTGATTTTACTAGTGATAAAATTGCTCAAAATACGTGATAATTTACATATTTCGTGTGCAGTAGCGCAGTCCCTGTATCACTCGCTGATGGACTCGGTCATGACAAAGATCCTCATTCTCAAGTTGGAGACTTCGAGCAAGCCAGTAAAACCAATTTAGTACTTCTGTGGTGCAAATAAATCACATTTCTTGGGATATCATTTCCAACGAACGTCGTTCAAAAAATGCGCAACAATTGGGGGATTTCACTTTTTATTATCGTTGTAGTACTAGTATTGTTCTCGTTTGAATTTTCAACAGACGCGCCAATCTATTGTTCACAACAAAACATGATTTGCATGTGAATAGATACAGTATAAATGTAATGAGCATGCGTGCTTGAGTGGGGTTATTTTTAGGGCGGCTGATGACGCTTGTGACTGTAAAATACTACTAAAATTACTCACTGAATAAGAGTGGAACATCAGCGTCCCTGCATGGGAAACTAATTCCCTATATCTAAGGATTTTTACCTGTGAGTTACATCATGGAAACAGCGGTGGGGAGCCGAGAAATGGAGCGAGAGAATCTCTCTCGGATCATAGCCGAATGGAATGCGAACAGGCTGGATCTTTTCGAACTTAGCCAACCGAATGAGGTATGAGGAAACATAACTGTTATTTTATGTCTTTGCTCGGGTGAACAGTATTAACTTAAACAGCGTCTGTCAAGGGCGATTTCTGTCGTCCCATACTATGTAAAATTCGATGTCGTGTGCATTGTTTTTTGGGAATCCGAGGGAAAGCAAGAAACCCGACTCTTGTCCGGGGTGGCGTTCTTCAGCAAGATGGCGGCCGATGATGTGTATACACACAGACTGTAAACGGTGTTGCACCGCATGAATCCCTGCACCGTATCTTGTTAATCCCGTCAAGTACGGATTTATTACATAATCCGCTGCCTGTCACGTAACCGTACAACCACCTGTGAACTTTCAACCTAACAACAAACCGCGGAAGTCTTCATAATTTAACGAAATGCACCCAAACAAGCAAAGTCGTGTACTACATTTCAGTCCTTGGCGTGACTTTGTTTGACAAGCAAGGTGACCCTTTGAAAGTTTCTATTATTCCACGTTGGTGATAATCGCTAGTGATGGTAGCGCCCTGAAAATACGGGCTTCACCGAATATATGACACGGCATATTCACATTGTTCTCAAACCTGTTGCGCTGAATTTGTCGCTCCCGGTCGCCCATGTGTCTACTCGACATGGTAGCGAGCTCTTCTGTTTATGAAAGAGCTACTAAACTAGATGAATGTCGTATTAACTGCTAATAATTTTCAAAGATAAGATAAAAAAAAATATAGAAACTCGTGCTATGTAATTGTAATGCAAGTTTTACTTTGTTGATTACACAATACAAATTTGTGACAGGAGAACCACCGTTCGATGACGTAGCAATGAGTCATTAAGTTGAAAAGGGTGGAGTAAAGAACTCCCCCGCTCGTACCAATTGCCAAATATTATTTTTTAACAACAATGACCTCATTGAACAAGTGCTTCTAAGAATGACCATGTGGCCCTGAAAGTATCAGTTCCTAAAAATATTATAAATTCCTGTTTACTACAGGATATTGTAAAAATTCTAAGTATGTATGAAATGTTTTTTTGTTTGTTGTAGCATCGGAAGATAAATACGGCTTTCCCTATTTTTAAAAAAAAAATGTTATCCTGTCTGTTGACAGTTAAAACTTGGTTTGTTTTGAATACACACTAATAGTATATGAGTTATGTGTAAAATATTTTGATGAATTATTACTGCCTTGTATGTTTTGAATTATTCTATTGACCATGTGTTTTGTAAACATCTGGAAAATGTCCACATACTGGTCTAAAAGTCATAGGGTCTACCAGGGTTAATAACATGCCACTGTTTTCACTCTTGTTAGTCATAATTCAGGTATAAACTAAATAATATTGACGAATATTATTAATAGTTAATTGTAACCGTAATGAATTGGAATGCTTGGAATTGTCTGGGTGTTAATTTTGATTGCAATGTTCTTGGGCGGGAATTTATGATTGATGTGAAATACCAAGTTTTGGGTAGGGCAGTGGGTGGCATGTTCAGTGTAGTAAATTACCATTCTTCTACATGTTAGTGGATATGCTTCTTATAACCTGGTCTTCAGAGTAACTTGTGTTTGGAATTTTGTGAAATTGTAATGATGGCATAACAAGGAAATAACACGGTTCAGCAACTTTGAGTCTCTGAAATATTGGAAATTGGATGCACTCTATATCAATATAAATATATTATTTGTTAATTGTAAAACACTTGAAAAATCAGAATATTTAACCTCAAGAATAAATCAATAGAATTCTTATTAATAAAACTTAGTCACATAAATGGTTATGAAATGAAATCAATTGGAACAGACTTTTGTGGGTGTGAAGATTTAACTATTTTTATATTTTCTCAAAATACACTTTCATGATCTCAACATGGAAACTGTTGTTCATAATTACATTAGTTTCTCCAACATGTAACTAACGGCAACTGACGATGAGTAATAAGGGGTGCCTACATTTGTAAAATTTTGTTTCCATAGAAATAAAAACAGAACAGCTGAACAGTTCGCTAAAAAAAATGTGTTGTCTATAAATTCTTTTAATTTTAATAGTACCGGTATACTATATCTCATCACTATAGCAACTATAGTACACTACTAGTATTTGCCAGTTGTACTAATGTTTTTTGTGTGCAGTATACGTTTGTTATAGAAATAATGCTTATAACTGTTTACTTTATTGCATGCGACACAAGTACTCAGGTTGAGTTAACAGTTCTTTCATTGTAAACATTAAATGTTCTATGACTATTACCTGTATATAGCAATACATGTAGGTTATAGTCAGAAAATTTAGTCTCTGTTTAAAAACCTGATTCACATAAAAGATAGCAGTTCTGAGTCAAGCCATAGGCTTACAATCAATTTTTTAGTGATTACTTATAATTATTTTGTAATTTAACAGGTTTGTAGAAATTTTCCTAGTCAAAAGAAATTTTTTACTTGTATATTTGATGCCTATTTAAAATGACATGTAGACAGGTTGCTTGCTAAGAGACTGTATGCAGATGAACTTAACTCCTGGTAAAACGTAATTACTAGTACCGGTAATCAATATTGATATTAATGATCAGATTTGTTAAACCCAATTGTCTATTGAGTTGCTACAAAAAATACTAGCGTGCTCCGAAAATATTGTATTGTTTCTTCATAATTGGATAGGTGGGGACCCCTACTCTAATGTATAATGCCCTAGGGAGTCCCCTGGAATCTTGAAATTCACCAGTTAAGCAGCCTTTGCGAATGTGTTGAAGTTGAACCTTGAATTGATTTTTCTTTCCTGCCACGCCCCTTGTAGGCCACACCTTAAGGTTACCTGTAAAACATTGTCCAGTTCTGATGGTGTCACTTTAAGGTGATTATGAAGACAGAACTGCAAATATCGACTCGACCTTTTTATAAATTTTGAATATAAATACTGTGTTCTGAGCGATGGCCTTTTGAATCTGCATAATTTGCTGGTTCATTGCTTTCCCAGTGTACCAGACCATATCCATTTAAACTGTCATTGTAGGATTGTCTGATTTTTTCCCATCATTGGGTCATGCATCTTTTTTCACCCAGAAAACTTGGATAGTATTTTTCCTAGGGAATTTGTTTATTTTACCAATGAATCATGAATATTTTAGTAACTTCTCCAGAAATTTACACACCAATGGTAAATTATGTATCTCTTATATAGAGATTACACAGGGAACTGAAATTAAAGAAGTTGAAAACTTGGCCATCATGAATGGTCCTTGACCACAAATTCTAATTATTTGTTTTTAATGCTGTGTGTTTTCTGTCATCTGACTTTGGGTTTGAAGGACATTACTGGTAGTCTTACAGTGATTCACTAATTTATCCTGGGATGACCTTGCCAAGGACCTTCATGGGTCATTTGATATTTACTGTACATTTTGATAATGTTGTGTGTAAAGCTCATTATAATTTATGTTAGAGCTGTGCAACAAGTTGGAAAAAACATTATGTACAACATGCTTTTACAGGGGTCGAAATACTCTGGTGCACTATGCACATAGATTATTAGCTATTGCAAGTAAACTCAAAATATAATGTGCACGCTGTGCATGTAGAAATTAACGCAACATTTTCTCATTATATTCACTAAGCCTAAATTAAGTTCATCCAACATTGTAAGACAACTGGAAAAAAGCAAATTTTTTCGTGATCACATCAATTGATAACCCGTAAATTTTATTTAAACTTTAAAAGCGGTGCATTTCACAACAAGTTAGTGCAGGTAAATTTCAAATTCAACAGGGAATAAATTCTATTTCAATCCCTGTTTTACTATACCATAGCCGTGTTTCAGTTTGCTCTATTAAAAGTAAAAAACAAAACAATTGTATTTATTGTACAAGTGTTCTCCCTAGGATACAAACAGCGTATAGATATCGCCGAAATTCTTTGTTTTGCCGCCACACACTTGTCTGACATCATCGCAGTCATTATGCAGACAACCACAGTGCCACTTCCTCTGTAGCATTTTCTAACTTTTAAAATCCAATTGATAAGTTGCTGAAAACTCTCAACCTTTTTACTGCCAGACTTTCTCGCCCTAATTTTTATGCACTTTTTTTTCTTGTATTCTTTAATATTTCTGGGAATGAACCCTGATTTTGGAGCCAACAGACAAAATTTGAGTCAATTTTAAGTTTTTACTCAAAAAATTTGGCTATTTTTGTGCCAATCTTCTGAAGGAAAGTATAAACAGGCCTATTTTGTGAATTTGTGGTGGAAAGAGGGAACTGATGGTGAAAAGGTTATGACAATTTTGTAAATGAATGTATAGTGTACCATCTTACCTACCCGACTTTGTTTGGCCTTTTCTTGCCTACTTATTTAAATTCATTTGACCATCAGGCTGGTTTTCTTTTCTCAAATAAAAATCTGATAGCAAAAACTGTGGTGTTAACTGTTAAAGCCTCAAGAATTATCGTCTTTTGAAATTTCACTCGAATTGCGCTACAAAGTCCAACTATTGACTATATGCACCATAAATAAGCTTGTTGCCTGCATTGCTAAAAGACAAGTCTTCAAAACACAACAGAGAGGAATTTTTGCCTTGCACTTAGCTGAGGACACCCTTCAATTATCTGAATGAACATGGCGTGAAAACGCAGCTTAGAATTCTGATAACTGCTTTCAACACTTACTGAGACACTCTTTCAACATGGTCTGTATTTACATGAGCACTACATACATTCTCAAATTTCATTCTCATTCTGCCATCTACTCTTGTACCCGTTTTGTTAAAACATGTTTGAAATAGTAAAATTCTCCAGGATTACTGTCATCCCATTGCCCATTGTTACTGCTTTACCAACTACTACTACTGAATTATTTGAAATTGACAAAGAATCTATACCATAATTAATTCATGTATATAATTCTAAATGGTTTATACACTTATAAAAAATAAAATCTTTGTACAAATTATGGACGAATAAAATAGCTAGTTACATTTTACACTTTGCCCATGTCTACGAATTTACATTTACTTATTTAAATCACATTG